GGCCAGCCTCTATCAGGATCCAATTGCCTTGTCACCATCTGGCTTTCTGATATTTACTTCCAGCAGAGGGCGCCATATCAGTTTATGTCTGCTTATCAATTCTATCTAAAATTCTATTTAGGCTCAAAAAGAGCTATTTATACACTATCAGGGTGGATGCTTGATGTATATAACCTTATTTTATCAGGATGAGTTGGTTTTCGGGTCTTTTTTGTCGAGGAATTTAAAATGACCTATAAAGAAGCAGAATTTGAACATTTAAATACCACAACTAAGTCTATGAGGAGAGGAGTGGGAAGAGAGGAGCAGGAGAAGATGCTGTCCAAAGTTTGCAGCATCTCTCCTGACCTCTTTGTATGCTAAGCAAACAGTAAAGAGCCTTTGATATTCCTATACTTATATAGGAATATCATAAAGTATATTTACAATAACAAAGGTTGAAAGAAAGAACTATATTTCATAACAAATGGATACCTAAGTATTCCGGAAGGTGTTATTTTATAATATATTTGTCTGAAGGTGACTTAAAAAAAAGGATAAAGGACCTTTAATGCTGTTTATTTAAATTAAACTCACTAAAATATATTTTTCTTTCCAAAATCCCTCCAGACTTCTGTTTCATTTGATCATCCGTGCTCCTAAAATGTGACGGTCCATCCCAGGTGCCCAACAGCCTTAGAGTTGGTGGCTAAACTCAGGCCAGAAGGCATCTGTTACTCAACAACATCTGTTCCTGTGAGTCTCTTTCTCCCAGCATGCCGAGGGACATGCTGACCCTCCCAAGGGGAGGGGGGGTGTCTTTTGTGCGCTCCATTGTCAATTCCATCATTGTCTGCAGAAGGCTGTTGCTCTAATGGTGCAGGGTTGTTAACCCAAACCAGAAGCCTGCTGGTGATTTACAGTCACATCTAAACACAATCTGCATCTTTATGAGGATCTAAAAAAAATATTAGCAGGAACTTAATGAGTTAACTAGAAATTAAAAGCTATAATTTTTTGTTTCTTTTGGTTGGTTTGGTTTTTTTTTTTAGTTCTCCAGCTGGGAGAAACAAAAAAAGCTGTAAATTTTAGCTGCAAAGCAGCCAGTTTAAAATTATAGCTGTGAAAAACAGGAAGTGAGTTAAAAGGAAAAACTCCAAACTGTGTGATGTCTTTTTATGCATTTCTGTAGCGTAGATCTAAATTTCAAAGCCATGATTTACCTGTTATTGGTGGAAGTAGAAGCAAGAGCGGTAAATCTAGTGTAAGGACATTGTTTTCCATGAATAGACCTCCTCGCTGGTCTCCAGGGAGACACTTTCAACTCCCGGCATTAGCAGAGAGCATCGGCATAAAAAAAAGGCCCACCATGGGGTGGCCAGGGGAAAGCAGCAGATGTTGGTGATTAACTTTGCTCACAGAGCCCTTAAGGGACGTGTTTGTTGGGAGTGCGCACAGATGGACGGAACCAAAGTTGTACCCAATGCAATGTCACGTTTAGCAATATTTATTTGGAAAAATAGTCTTGGCTAATTCCTTCATTCACAAACAGTAAACTGTTACATTTTTCATTTTAAATAACATTTTCTTAAAAAACAAAAAAAGAGGAAAGCAAAACAACAGAAATCCCATTCACATGAAGTGCCTTTGCAAATATCATTTAAAAAAAGAACGCAACTTAAATAATTATAACAAACAAATATACATTATGAAATAAAAATAACACAAATTTTTTTAAATTAACATAAATTAAATCATAATTTTAAATCAACACTTTCTTGGGTTTATTTTACAAAACGGACAATCTGTATCAAAAGTACACTTCTTTTTTTCTTTTTTAAATCTATTTTTTTTTTTTCTTCCTGAAAGAATACTATATTATAAACGGTTTGGAGGACTTAGGGGGGAGAAAACGCACTTCAGTTAACACAGTCATCAAGTATACATACAGTCTTCACAATGGTAGCGATGGGCGCACAGCCCATGTAAAGCGCCTTGTGAAGAGCAGGCCAGTATGGCCAAACATCCACCGTTTGATGCAGTTCCTGCGCTCAGCAACAGCGTGTGGGTTAGAGAAAAGGCCTGGCTGCAAATGTTGCATAAACAAAACTTCTAAAATACTCTATCGCCATGAGGCAATGCTTGCTTAATATAATCTCCAATGAAAGGCAGAACGGAAAGCTTATTGACAGTTTACCATCAACTGTAAACTTTATTTTTTAAAGTCACCTTTTTTTTTTCCACAGTGCCAGTTCTCATCCCACAGGCCGCCGCTGTCTACACTTAGTTACCAGTAGAGAACCAGCTCACTCTGAATATCAGTTAAACGTCTCTGTATCAGCAGCAGTCTCAAGGCGGGACATCTCCCCCTAGGGTTAGAGCAGCATCTGAGGGAGCATAAAAACTCTCCCATAGAGCAAATGAGCAACGGGAAGTCCATTTTGTGGCTTCTTACACCTGGAGATGTACAAAAGGAAATAAAAACAGAAATTAGAGTTGAACTTGGCAGAAATTTAAGGAAAAAGACTCTGATCTCCTTAAAGGTCTTACCTCAGTTGCAATTATACATTCGTCTTTCTCCTCTGACATCACAAACACAGATTTGTACTTGGTGTCCGCACATGCAGACAGTTCTGGGGCTCTCTTTTCCGATGCATCGCTTTGAGGAGAAAAAACAACCGATAATGTTAGCTTTTTTTTTTTTAATTGACAGCTTACGTGTGAATTTCTGAACAGACTTTCAGATTCTTACTAATTACCATTTTAAACGTTTGCTGTGTTTTTCTTCAAACTCCAACGAGTCCGACGATTGATACTTTTCCTCGCAGGCTGCCTCCAGCATGGCCTCCTTGGCCGCCTGCTCGTAGTTCACCTCCCGCACCAGGTTGTAGTCTGAAGGGGGAGGTCTGCTTTTGTAGCTGCTCCTTCCAGGTGAAGAGTCTTCTTCAGGGTCGCCGCTGCAGAAGTCCATCTTTTTATTGATGTTTTTGACACCTGGCATTGGCATCACGCTGATTGCAAGGTCCCTCTCGCCACGGTGACAGTTGTTGGTCAGATTGTTTATCGTCTCTCCTTCACCTGCGCTCTCTGCCTGTACGCTCTGCTGAGCTTTTGATCGGACAAATCCGACCAGCACGGCGCATCCCGCCAACAACAGCAGCACCATGGCCACACCGGAACAGATGGCCATCCAGGGGACCTCCGATCCTCGGATCGCAGCATGTTCCGGAAGCAAGAACTGGCAGTTTCTGCCTCCGTACCCTAGAACGCAGGCGCAGACGTAGCGGTTGTTGCGTTCGTGGCAGGTGGCTCCGTTGTGGCAAGGGTTGTGCTCACAGCGGCTAATGGGGGAACTGCAGTTGCGTCCGGTGTATCCGGGCGGGCAGGTGCAGGTGTAGCCGTCGGGTCCCTCCTGGCATGTCCCACCGTTCTGGCAAGGGTATGCTGAGCAAACATCACCCGTCTGGTCGCAGTTCATGCCAGTGAAGCCCTCTGGACATTGGCACAGGTACGAGTTGACTAGATCCACACATCGGGCACCTGGGAGAAGAAGCCTTTGTATCATTGTTTGCACCTCAAAGAGTTGGCACACTTTAAGATGTGATGAAATTCATGGGAATACTGATTAGCTGTGAATGAATTTGTCTTACCGTTGGAGCAGGGACCGGAGGTACAGTGGTCAATCTTTTTCTCACAGTTGAATCCGGCATACCCAGTGGGGCACTGGCAGAAATAGCCTCCATCGGGGTTGTCAGCACAGCGGCCTCCATTGGAGCAAGGCTTATCGGCACACGTCATGGCACTTAGCTCGCAGTTGTTGCCATAGAAACCATGAGGACAACTGCACTTATATGTATTCTCTAGATCCTGTGCGGGGGAGAATAATCATAGTGTTAACATAAAGATGTTCCAATTCCGCTGCCAATGTACACATCAAACTTTTATCTACACATGCAATATTTTAGAGCAGGGGTCTTCAACAGGGGGTTCTGCATGGGGGTCACGAAAGTTTTGGTTGATTAGACTTTATTTTATGCAATTTTTTTCCGCTAATTGAAATGTCTTTAAATCCACATTAACATGAATTCAACACACTGTAGTAAACAGATAAATGGAGACAGAAAATGCCTTTCAGTCATCAATGCACACATTCAGCGACACACAGGAGCTCTTTCAAGCTGGGCACCGTTTCATTCACAACACCTGTCCCATCAACCAGGAATCCGAATCAGAAATACTTTAATAATTCCAGGGCAAAATTACTTTTGTTACATTACTCCATATGTAATAGAGTGACTATAGGACCAGTTTGATAGAACACAATATAATACAATATATATAATTACGGGGTCCCCGCTTCATCTTGCCATCAGTTTGGGGGTCCTGGGCGTGGAAAACGTTGAAGACCCCTGTTTTAAAGGCTTTTTTGGCTTTTTGTCTGAGGTGGCCAGGCAGGGGCTGGGCCAGATTTAGAAATCACTCAGAAAGTTTCAATTGTTTCATCAAGTTGTAACAACTCAAGCACACTTACGGTGCAGCTTCCCCCGTTGCGGCATGGGTTTCCAGCACATTCATTGACCTTGATCTCACAGCTGGCTCCAGTAAAGCCAGGCTTGCAGGAACAGGTGTAGCTGCCCTGACCAGTGTTGCTGCAAGTGGCTCCATTCATGCACGGCTTGTGATGAGTGCAGTAGTTGAGATCTGGAAAGACACAGCAGAACATGTGGATTAGGCTCTGCACAACATATGGACCAAAGTGACACAGTGCCTTTTGTCTTGCAAGACATTTGACAAAATCTCTTGCCAAGTATTCTGCTAGTCTCTCTGCAATCCATCTTAAGATCTTACTAAGATCATATATATTTAACCCAACTGCCACTAACTGATATCATACAAGTTTTTTAGTGAGTAACATCCTTTCATTTGTGGGTTAGTTTGTGTCCCAGTCACTCCCAGGATGCCGGGACTTCTATAACCCATCAACCAGTAGCATTTTTCCCCATCCTCTGTCTGTCTTCCCTCATCTTTCATCACCCCCAGCTCTCATGAGACTTGGTCCTCACCTTGGTTACAGAACAGCCCCCCCCAGCCCTCCTGACAGTTGCACTGCCAGGGCTGCTGGCAGGTCCCGTGGAGACAGCCCGGGTAACGAATGCACTCGTCGCAGTAGCGGCCCTTGAATCCTACTCTGCACCTGTTGTTGTCCAATTAAGAGGGAACACACCGGTCAGTCCACTCATGTTACCTTGTGTGTGACGCCGTCCCGTTAAATCGGAGGAGACTTACTTGCACTCGCCAGGCTTTTCGCAGAAGCCGTGTTCTTCATCGCATCCTGGCAAACAGATCGCTGCAGCGAAAGGGGAGAGGAGAAAGTTCTCCGTTTAGAAACACATAAACCTTAAATAGATTTTTATCATGTGTTGTTTTTTTGTTTTTTTTATCCAGCATTTTTCTTGTTTTTTTAATGTTATTTAGAGGTGGAAAAGATAAATCCCAACATTTAGCTACAACAGAGTGGACAGAAGTTTTTCCTAAACTTTTCCACTCTTTCTTCAAACTTAGTGTCCTGATCTCATCGCCAGAACTTTCTTTTTAAAGTGCTGCAGGAGACAGAGAGGCACTGTGTGAATGAGTGTGTACCCCCTGAGTGCACACTCACACACAGACCCCTGAATTCACCCCATCACCCTCCCTTTTCTTCTTCTCCTTTGCTGCAGGTCAAAACTCTTTTATTCAGTCTCCCTGCACACACACACACTCTCTCTCTCTCTCACACACACGCTCCCCTTAATGTCTCAGATTGGGGCAGATAAGAGTGGACAGCTGGCGAGTGTGTTGCCAGTGCGCGACAGCTGCCCCATTGTTTCCTCTCTGCCGGCAGCTGCCCACTTCAACAATACCTCCCCCGCCTCAGCCAATCATCGGCCGGCCCACTCGGGGACCGGCCAATCGGAAGGCAGCATGTAAATTTATGGCACGCGTGAGATTATTCCAAAAAACTTTCCTTAGAATAAATCAAGTAGCAGTGTGTGTGTGTGCGTAAAAGGGGAGGGGGGGGGACGCGTGGTGTTTACCCACAAGATCCCCTCTAACGGTACTTGGAGAGCCAGAAAATAGCTTTTTATTGTTCTTTCTCTCAGTAAATTTGGGTCAAAAATCTAAACTATGGATGCTTGCATCATCTCTGACCGCTCTAGTAGGTTACATGTGATGTTTTCCAGCAATAAACTTACGTTCTGTGCAGTACTGGCCCTTCCAGCCTGCATCGCACACGATCTCCCCGCGTTCCCCGCAGGTGAAGTGTCCAAACGCGTCGTCTCTGGGCCGGCAGAACACCGAGCAGCCGTCCCCGTAGTAGTGCTCGTCGCACACGAAGCGGTAGGAGTATTTGAGTTCGGTCCTCCCCGCGGTGTGCAGGTCCTGGGACCAGTCCTCTCCCACCGTCAGATGCCTCTGGGTGGTCATTGTGCTTATAATGCGCTCTGGGTTCTCTAAAAAGTGAGCATGTAAAAAATAAAATAAATAAAAAAAAGTTGGTTTGTGGAAGAAAGTGGAATTAGAAAGGGAAAACAGGATTCAGTTCCTACCTGTGGAGAGGTCGTCTTTGGAGTCTGTGTGTAACGCTTCGATGATCAGTGAGAAGGTCCCCTGGGAACACAAATGGCTTGGTGAGACAGGTGGCCAGCGGAAGCGTGCTGATAACACCAAGCAGGACCCCAGGCGACAGTGCAACACTCACTGCTCTGAATGCAAAGTGCCTAACCTGATCTGCTAACTAACCCCCCCACCCCACCCTAAAATAAAAAGGAAAACTTGATGCGCTCTCAGCCTTTTGCGCGCACCGCCGCTCACACTTTTACGCACGGATTCAACTAAAAAGGCGCGAACCGCAGCGCCGCTGACAGTGTAACCAACAGCAGGTGAAATTACCGGCCACGTGAAGCCGAAGTTAATCCTGATGGGGTTGCTGAATGAACTCTCCGGGATGGCGTCGGGAACCTGGAAGGAGTTGGAGCCGAGGACGGGCGTCACTGCGCCGCCGTAGGTGCAGGGCGGCTCCGGGGAGGCGTTGGGCTGGTAGTGCTTGAGACAGATCCTGAAGAAGGTCTTACATTCGCACTGCTGCTGCTGGAAGGAGGAGGTCAGGCCTCCTTTGCAGCAGTTCTTGTTGCCCTGCGCCCCCTTTTTGTTCAGAAACTCTTGCAGCTTCAGCTCAAAAACTCCCGAACAAAACCCCTGCCAAAGAAATAAGCCTGTTATCATCACACATGTGATGGTGGTGGATGGAGAGCAGGGAGGAGGGAGGAGGGGGGGGCATTTTGAATTATAGCAGGAAACAGATTTGAAGACCTACCTGGCACAGCAGCATCAACATGACGGTGAGAGTCAACAAAATGAAGCGCTCCATATTAAATAAATACATAATAAATAAGGAATAAATAAATAAAAAAAGTTTGGGGACTTGGCTGTTCCTCAGGGTGCCTCCTCCTCTTCAGTCCCCTTGAGAAAGATGCATTGAGCTCGGTTGTGTTGTTTCAGTCAACTGCTGCCGCTGCGCGCCGCGCTGCTGGGATTCATGTCCCGTGGAACTAAAAGAGGATAAATCCCAAAAACTTCTCCGTGAAGGCAAAGAAGGGGAGGGGGGGTGATGGGGGAACGAAAAAAAAAAAAAAAGAAGAAGAAATGTGGGAGTTTATAGCGCAGGCGTAAAGAAAAGCCTTCCTTTGGTCCGACTTGAAGCTTAAATCCAATGCGTAAAGATGCTGTTCTGTGAGGAATCTGCAAAGGTCTTGGTTTGACCCGAGGACGGATTGATCACTGGTCCTGCATGCTTCCTACAACCTCCCTCCCCAATGTCTCTCCTCACCGTGAACTGTGCGTCTGTCTCCGGCCAAGGCCGCTTGCTGCCTGTTTTATACGGCCTGACACATGCTATGGTAATAACATGCAAATGGGCCCCTCCTCCTCTTCTTCCCGGAGCCTTACCTCCCACTGAGCAGATTCTGGACTGAAAAGAAGTCTAAACCACCTTCAAGATGTTTATAGATGCCCCTGTTTATTATTATTTTATTTCTAAAAAAGCTAAAATGTGATACACATGTAAGATTTAGAAGTTAACCCAAAAGAAAACTAAATTTAATAGGGTGGAAAAAGTGTGGCACCAAGACAGAGTGATGAAGAGAATCCATCCTTAGATCCCAGATTTCAAGAAATATTCACATTTTAAGCAGGAAATAAAGAGCAATACGGTTAAAAAAAAGGCAGGTTAAAATTCCTTTACACAAATATACTAACTGTGTAAATGTGGAACAATGTGAAGATCAGGTCTGCATGAATAAACAATAACTTCACTGCTCATTCTCTGCACTTTGAATTCCTTGGATATCTTTCAAAGGTTGAAGGAAGGGTTAATAGGAAGATGGAATCATGTTGAATTCCGCTTTTCAGGATATTTAGATATAATGCCCCCCCCCCTCTCTAAAGCCCCCCGCCCACCACAAGAAAAAAAAAGGGAAAAAGTAGTGACACACGTGGTTGATGGCACGTGGTCGCATTGATCCGCCCAGCTGTTGCCTTATAGTGCAGCAGGCTTCTTTGTTTGAAGAAGCTTGATTTCCAAAGTTTCCCATAAGAAGAAAAGAGTGGAAAACCGTTTCCAGATCTAGTTTGGGAAGCTGATTGTTTTCCTTCACTATCCAGCCCACATAAACAGCCTTTACATTCAGCTTTTCCTAACTGTGGGAAGAATTTCTCTCTGAGGAAGAAAAAAAAAGGGAAGAAAAAAAAAGTTTGAAAGAAAGCATTCAGTGGTGACGAGCTGAGGGGCCGGACTTTTGCTTTTTTCCATTTCTGTTTTGCTTCAAGCTTCTAGTTCTGGGTTATCCAGAACGCTGTGTGTGTGTGTGTGTGTGTGTGCGCGCGCGCGCTTCAGCCACTCGCGCGGCCAACATGAGGGAGATGTTTGGTCATTGTGTGATTGTGTGTGGGGAGTTCGCTGCTCCCCGTGTCCTCAGCTGTATGGTAATTCATGGAACACCTGCTCTTCTCTCAGAAACAGCATCTCTGGGCTGCGCGCGCCTCCCCCCTACCCTCGCCACACTCCTCCAGCGCGCGCTCACACACTTTTTCTATCACACCAAACAGAAACAGCCTCCTTATAAAAAAAAAAAAGGTTCTTTATTCCTCCCTCATCTTATACACTGCCTTAAAACTTTTTGAGGGCAGATCCTCAGAACTAAACGTTCATTAATTGCGTGTCTTATTCGTGTGTGTGAAAGTGATGCGTCTTTGCGCACATTCGCACAAGGTGGTGGGGGGTTGTGGATTAATTAGGTCGTTCATTAGGTGGTTTTTCTGCTGTATAATGATTGCTCTCCCCCCCAAGCTCCTTAAGCTGAATATATAGTGCGACACAAATGGGGGGAATTTTACAGTTATTTTCCTGCCTATAGGCACACACTCTATGCTGTAGTCTTTATACAGTGAAAGGAGAGAACACCCTCTGTGATGTGGAATTTAGTTGTTGACACAATACAGTTGGGAAGCATTGTAGTTTTCATCCATCCTTCCTTTCTTCTGATCAAAGGTGGGTAAAATTTAGGGTACATCAGGGTTGCAGTAGCTGAACATGTTCCCAGTGATGGTTGCAAACTGATAGGCACCAAAACCAGTTCAGGGTCAATCTACACTCACTGGCCAGTTTATTAGGTACCCCATGCTAGTAACGGGTTGGACCCCCTTTTGCCTTCAGAACTGCCTCA